TAGCAAGGAAAGCAAAAACACAGCACCCCCATTTAAAGGTCTCCCTGTTGCAGCCAGGTAGCAAGGAAAAGCCAGTCTAGATTAGAAAACAGATCTTTCTTATTTTTTTAAAAATGGTGTTATATAAGAAGGGCAGCTGGTCTAGCATGCTCATGGCCACAGATGTTCAGTTCATTATTTTTGCTTTAAAAACAAACTCGTACATCCTTTTGTATAACAAAAGAGTGTTCATTCCTGCATCGATGTACATAGAAGCAGAAACACATTTGATTTGGTTCCTGTGTTCCTGATGGTGCTGTGATCTAAAGGAGTGTAAAGATCAAACTGCACATGCTCAGAGTCTATCTCTTTTTACTTGATGGTTTTCTTTCACTTTTAACATATCAGGAATATAGAAGCAGTTGTAAAGTATGGAAAGGCAGTGGAGTGGGGAGGAAAGTAGGAAAGTCTTTGTTTGTGTGGTTCACAACTGAAGGAACATTTATGGTCATCTGGGGTATGTTGGAGAACCTTCTTTTCCACCATCTATGCCCCAATTCAAATCTGAGAAGCCATTACCTTCCCTTGAGGCTGAGAGAGTGTGACTTGCCCAAGGTCACCCAGTGGTTTTCATGGCCAAGCAGGGATTTGAACCCTGATTTCTAGAGACATAACCCAGCACTCTCAAACCACTATGCCATATGCCTACAAGTCTCCTGTTGACTTATGGTGACCCCATGAATTTCATTGGGTTTCCTTAAGCAAAGAAAACTCAAGAGTTATTTGTGCCAGTTGCTTCCTCCGAAACAGATCCTGCGGCACCTGGGATTCATTGGCTGTCTCCCATCCAAGTACTATCCAGAGCTAACCCTGCTTAGCTTCCAAGATCAGACAGGATCTGGTGCCTTTAGGATATTTAAATATGAATGTGTGTGCCTTCAAGTTGCCTGTCAACTGATAGCGACCCCATGAATTTCACAGAGTTTTCTTAAGGAAAGAATACTCAGAGGTAGTTTTCCCAGTGTCTTCATCTGAAATAGAGCCTACAGCACTTGGTATTGGTTGGTGGTCTCCCATCTAAGTACTAACCAGGGCTCACCCTGCTTAGCTTCTGAGATCAGACAGGATCTGGCGCCTTTAGGGCAGTTGTTCCCAAACTTTGGTCCTCCAGATGTTTTGGACTTCATCTCCCAGTATTCTTGACTATTGGCCCAGTTGGCTAGGTCTTCTAGGGGTTGAAGTCCAAAACGCCTGGAGGACTAAAGTTTGGGAATCACTGTTTTAGGGTATTTAAGCTACCCCCAAGAGGCAAGGAGACAGTGAGTGATGCTGGATAGGGCTTGTGTGAGGTTTGCTTTATCTTGGGAAGGAAGAAGGAGGATTCAAAGCACAAGAGATTCCACCTCAATATTGGGAAGAACTTCCTGATGGTAAGTAGAGAGATCTTGTAGCACCTTGGAGACTCACTGAAAGAAAGAAGTTGGCACCATGAGCTTTCATAGACTTCAGTCTACTTCCTCAGATGCATTTGGATGTAGACGTAAGTAGAGTTACGAAAGCTCATGGTGCTAATTTCTTTCTTTCAGTGAGTCTCCAAGGTGCTACAAGATTTTCTGATTCTACAGACTAACACAGCTATATCTTTGCATTCCTGATGGTGAGAACTGGAAGAGGCTGCCTCAGAGAGTGATGGTGTCTCCTTAGATCCCAAATTTTGGTCCTCCAGGTATTTTGGACTTCACCTCCCAGAATCCCTGATTCTTGGCCAGGTTGGCTGGAACTTCTGGGAGTTGGAGTCCAAAGCCCACAGCTGGAGGACCAAAGTTTGGGAATCACTGCCTTAGATGGATGGCCATCTCTGAGCATCTGAGGAAGTAGGTTGAAGTCTAGGAAAGCTCATGCTGCCAAGTTCTTTCTTTCAGTGAGTCTCAAAGGGGCTACGAGATCTCTCTACTTACCATCAGGAAGTTCTTCCTAATACTGAGGTGGAATCTCTTGTGGTTTGAATCCTCCTTCTTTCTTGGCTGGAACTTCTGGGGGTTGGAGTCCAAAGCTCACACCTGGAGGACCAAAGTTTGGGAACCACTGCCTTAGATGGATGTCCATCTCTGAGCATTGCTTTGGTGGTGAGCTCCTGCATGGCAGAAGGGGGGTTCGACTGGATGGTCTCTGGGGGTGGTGGTGGATCTCTTCCAAGTAAGTCTCTATGAATCTATATTTCTGTTGCCTTGATCCTGCTCAAGGTCCCTGTGATTCCTCTCCCCTGGCTCCAAAAGCAAGAAAAGGAGCTTCCCTCCAGCCAAAGGGAAACTTCAGCAGACTCCAAAGGAAAGGAGGCGCTGGAGCATCTGGCTTTGGCTTCCCTCCTCTGTTTCTGAGGCTTCAGTCCAGCAAAGGAGGGCGAAGAGGGGGCCAGGGGAGTCACTCTCTCTCAGCCTCTTCCAGCCTGGCTCCCACCACTCACCTCCCTCTCCCCTCTTGCTTTCCTCCTAGGCTCAAGC